GATTTGTAGATAAGTAAAATGCATTCTGAGGAGATATATTATCTGACACGACAAAGTGATCTACCGTTGCAGCAGATGCAGCTATTGTTTCAATGTAAGTCGCTCTCACGGAGACGAGCATCATCTATGCTGATAGAGGTGCATGGATGTTTCTCTATGGCGGTTAAATGAGAACAGTTTAGTTTTGGAGGCATTAAAACGTACAAGCTTTTTTTTTGCCTCAGCCGTTGTTTTTTGAGAGCAGCGGCCAGGTTAAATTTGTCAGCGCTTCCGGGTTTATTATTGAGATAGGAGTAAATGATAGTCTCGTCTGCATAAATACCTAATTGGGAACTGGTGTCATCAGGGAGATCATTGATGAAGATCAGAAACAGTGTAGGACCCAGAATAGAACCTTGGGGAATACCCGCGTAGTATGAAAGAACTGGAAGAGAGGCCGTTCAGGACGACTTTTATTACGCGATTAGAGATTAATGATTAGATTAAATCAAGTAAACGCCCTGTATTACCGTAGCCGTGAAGCTTACGTAGAAGACCAATTCTTTACTTATGTTACTCGGTTTTTCTTTCAGCTCCTCTACCCGTGGGGTGGCAGCACCTGTTAAGGTCCCAGTTATGGGCAAATAGTGAACACCTAAACAAAAACAAAGCACTATGAAAGTATAAGAATATTTTTTCATAGTAAAAACATCATTAATGTTTATATACATTATAATTGAGTTCCAAAATATATTTAGCTGAAGCCGTAAAATTGGGTTCAAAATATTTAGATATTGGCATTGCATAACCCATAGAGATTGTAATGCCTCGAAAAAAAAACAACCAATCAAGAATATCTACAGCCTGTCTGGAGTTATTATACAAATCAAATAAACCTCAATAGCACAAAAAGTTATGAACAAAAATTTGTCAAACTTAAACTGCTCTCTTTCCAACCCGAGTAAAATGTCTAAATTAATTTTCTACTATTTTTAACGATTAGTTTTTGAGATATTTAGAATTTACAAAAATGGACTAAGTTAGTATGCAGATTAAACTAATATTCGCTTAAGTCCTCTGAAACCTACTTAAACTATTTTTTCTTTTGCCTATAATACATGCTGAAATATGGTTAAAGGGAACAAGCTAACAACTGTTGTGTCATATATATATATATATATATATATATATATATATATATATATATATATATATATATATATGTGTGTGTGTGTGTGTGTGTGTGTGTATTTGTAATACAGTTCATCGCGTCCTGAATAGCAACCAGGTTTTGCTAGGCATAGCTGCCGTATGTTCGCCAGTTGTTCGCTAATTATACTTTACTTATCTATCTAATTTTCATACGATACTACATGTGAAAAACAGAAAATAAGTTAATGAGCGTGGGAATGTCTACAGTTAAGATATCAAAGGAGGTTTGCAGAGATTATCGAATGATAAAGAAGGATTTTGAGAATATAAGAAGGCTGATAAGTCGAAGCAAAAGAAAAGACTTTTAGAACTTGCTTCCCCGACATGATCGTAAAATAAAGCGAGTTAAAACAAAACAACCTTTTTTGGCCAATGCTCAGATCTTTGAAAAGGCTGGAATTGATGGAGTCAAGCAGGAAAAAAGATATAGAATACACTTTAAATTGAGATCTGTAAACGAATCTCCGCAGCAACCCCCTCTCATTAAAGCAAATACTTTAAATAATTTTAATTTAAAATTGAGCCAAGAACTAAATGTAATTTTTTGTTTTTTTAAATAACTTTCACGAACGAATTTTGGGTGATAGTTGATGGACCTGATTGATGGGTGAAAGGATTGATTTTATTCAATTCAGACACGCCCGTGTCTAAAAGAAGAACAACAAAGAGGCAGTAGTTTTATGATATGGACTGGAGATTGTCGACCAAACGATTTTCGAGCATTCAAACTCGAGCAAGGACTTGAGCTGAACAGTGATAACTATTGCAATTTTATGAACAAGATGTTTTTTTTTGTTTTTTTTTTTCATGGTACAAGTCCGAGTCTCGCAGTTTCAAAGTGAAGTGTGTATTTATGCACGACAATGCTCATTCCCATATATCTAAACTTACCCGTGATTTTTTTTACGCATAAATGATTTACAGAAGAGAAGATAATAGAATGGACACGATCAATTCCTGATCTGAATCCAAACAAAAATATATGGTCAACTGTGAAGCAATTAAAAGTACCATGTCAGAAATTGAACCTGCTTAATTAAAAGAATTGACAAAATCAGTGGATAACCGATTAGTGGCTGTTATTGATGTCACTAAATTAAAATGGATTAAAGGATTAAACGCTTTATCATATGTGTTTATTATTCGTTTGATTATAAGTCTTGGCCTTTTTTTTGCTTTTATTACCTTTTTATTGAATTAAATGTAATTATTGGATGGTGTCTAATAACCTCAGACAGCAGTTTCTTTTTAGAATACATTATATAACTTCAATAACTTCGATAAAACATATGATTCTTATCTAAAATTTTAACTCAGGCTTCGTTTTGAGATCTACATTGGTTGTTAAAAATTTGACAATTTTTTCAAACAAAATTTGAATTCGTCTATATTTCTGAGATGAGGTATTATGTACATTATTTACATTATTCGGACTATTGTCTTGATCTTAGTCGCCATATTTATTATAATGTTTCAACCTTTCAATATCTGTTTATATTTCTGAGATGAGGTATTATATACAATATTTCCATTACTCGGACTATTGTCCTCATCTTTGTCGCAATATTTATCACAACGTTTCGGCCGTTTGATGTATGTCCGTTATCAGTTATCTCCTGTTAATTTCCATCTGAAAGTTCTCCACTGCCTTACCCGGGTATTGAACTCACACTTTTTGGGTCCTGCTCCTGGATCTAACCAACGCCTTTAACCACTGTGCTATGCGTCTTTGAGAATAAAGGCGTTCGAGTGAAGTATCTTCCTCGAGAGAAGACCCATCTATCATGATAGGTAAAAGTTCAAGTTCTACTCGGTGATGGTAAGAAAATGGAACAATTATAAAATGAAACTCCATCATACGTAATGTTAATATAAAAGATTCGTTCATACTGTAGAGCTTATTCGACATAATACGACAGTGGCAGTAATAATTAATAATAAAAAAGAGCATACCATTGTGAAAAAATACCCCAAGCTTGTCAGAAAATAGTTTTATAGTCAAAACATCCATTATTTACATTATTCGGACTATTGTCCTCATCTTTGTCACCATGTTTATCACAAAGTTTCGGCCGTTGTACGCTCCGGGCTTCTTCAGGTGGTTGGAATGTCGAACTGAACCCTTTATTTCGCTCACTGGGGTAGACTGTACTAGTTCCACATGCCATGTCTAATGGATGTCAGTTATCTCCTGTTAATTCCCCTGTCACAGTGACAGGACCCAAAGAGTGTGAGTTCAATACCCGGGTAAGGCAGTGGAGAACTTTCAGATGGAAATTAACAGGAGATAACTGATAACCGACATCCGTCAAACATGGCACGAATAATGTAAATAATGTACATAATACCTCATCTCAGAAATATAAACAAACTATGAGGTTATTCAATTAGAAAATTGAATTTAATTGTTTTTATTAATAAGATTTATTAAGGACACTAATTTCTTAAGAAAAATACATTTCCATGAATAAGGAAAATTTAATATTTTTTAAATTGTAATTTGAAAATTTTAATAATTTTTAAATCTTTTTAATATTCTGTTATAATTTCAGTGTTTTAGATGATTTTATAGAGCTTAATCCTACTAACCATAAATGAAAAGCCTTAATCCAAATTATCAAACAACAGTATTTTTAAAAATAATTTTGAATCATTTGTATTTATATACACGTGTCCATTTTTGTAAGTACGGGCAACTATACATGATATTATCAGAAAATATGAAAGAAAACTATAGTATATATATTTTATTAGGTTTCAGAAAACACAATAAAACATTAGATTACGGAGAATGTTTTCCTAGATTTTTAAGTTTCCTGAGTAATTAATAAGTATATAAAAATGCTTCCACGTCATTTTCTTAAATTATGTTTTAAAGATAATGTCTCCGAAGAACAACCTTAACCTATAAGGTTATCAACACGTCAAAATGCTTCTGTTGTGGTTAAAAACACATTCACTGGTGTGTTGAAAATGCATTTCTGCCATATTTTGAACTTAAAGTAAATAATATTTGTTTCAAATCAGATTAATTATGCGTTAAGTAACATACATTTTCAGAAAAGTATATTTCATTTTTGGAAGGTTTTTTTGTTTTTTTTTAAATTACGTTGAGACTAAAAATGGCGGTCTGTTTTTTAAGCAAAACAAAAAATCCTTTCAGTCAATTTAAATTATTTTTTTTATAATACAACAAAGTATTTTGCTTATTGGAAATATTACATTTAATTTATTATCTCTAAATTAAACCTAAAGTAAAAGCTTAAAAAATATTTCACAATTTTAAAAAATTCATTTTAAACCTTACGTATGATTTTTTTTTCTGTTTCTGGAGATAACTAATAAAATAGAACAATTATAACAATATATTGAAATAAAAGTCGGGTGACGGATAGAAGATCTGTTTTTTTTATAGAAGATCGATATTAATTGATTTCAGTGACAAAATGAAAGAAATCAGGAAGAAGGAAGGAAAGATACAAGTAAATAAAGAATCAGATTAAACAGATAAGAACAGATTCTACACTTTGATCTCAGCTCAAATCCCGAGATAATATGGCGGCCGCGATAAACGTGTCATTTTTCAGACGCTGAGTATCGAACGATGGAAAGCGAGTAAGTAATCGTCAAATTCCACATGCCATAAATAAAATAAAATCGTCTGCTGAATTATTTTTAAAATATAATTAAGGGAAATATTGGGAAGACGGTGTTTTGATAGAAATAAGTTAAGTTAGAATCGTTTAACTTCTCCTCACAATATCTTATAAATGTTAGACTATTCCATTTTGATTGCGAATAAATAAAACATGAATTAATGAATAAATAATAGAAAGAAAGAAGGAATGAAAGAAAGAAAAAGATAGAGAAAAAGATAGAGACAGAAATGAAAAAGAAAGAAAAAGAAAGAATAAAGAAAAAAGAAAGAAAGAAAAAGAAAAAACATATGAATAATAGATAGAAAGAAAGAGAGAAAAAAAGAAAAAAAGAAAGAGACTGAAAGAAAAAAGAAAGAAAAACAATGAAAAAAGAAAAAAACAAAGAAAGACAAAGAAAGAACGAAAAGAATGAGAAAGAAAGAAAAAAGAGAGAAAGAAATAAAGAGAAAGAGAAAGAAAAAAGAGAAAGAAAAAAGAAAGAAAAGGCAATAGAAATGTTTAACGTCTGTTTCAGTGAAAATAGAAACAGTTGCCAATTTCAAAGCTTTTCAATTGTACCTCCTTACTTCTTAAAATAACGACCACTATTCATAGCTATGATTCTTATTGCAATATCTTTTTTGTTAAGCTCATATTTTTAACAACGCGATAGGGGAATTCCTCCAGATATTATGTTGACGTAGAACTCGCCATCCGCTTATTCAATCATTGTCTTAAGAGTTATGGATAAAGATTCAAGAAAATTTAAATAAGAAAACACTGAAATTTTTACTTTTCTTTCTAATAACTAATAATATAAAAGATGAATAATAAAAATATAACAGACGTCATGCGACAGATAGAAATAACGATCTTACCGTAGAATTCGTCAGGTTGCCTTGGACAAAAACCGGTCACTGATAGAATCTCTGTGGTGTGGTGAGACGACCACACTCTACACACTTTCCTTCCAAGCAAGGATAGCCAGTGGCAACGTTATAACTTAGTGCCAGAGTTCCAGGTTAGTCTTTCCAATGGCCTTAACTCTGTCTACTTTACCTCCGTTACCAAAACAACCGTCCCCCATAACTTTTTATCAGACCTCATATATATATATATATATATATATATATATATATATATATATATATATTATTCGCCTAGTTATCCTCAGATTAATTGCCATATTCACAACGTTTCGGCCGTTGTAGGATCCGACGTTCTTCAGGTGTTTGTAATACCGGACCCTTTCTTTCGTCCACCGGGGTAGATCGAATAGCACCACGTGCCATGCAGCTACCAGATGTCTCAGTTATTTCCCTTTAACTCAACTTTACAAATCATATATATATATATATATATATATATATATATATATATTGCATAAATTATTCATACAAAAACAGATATAGAAGTTAATGATTTAAATGGCGAGAATACATCTTCGCAAACAATTTTAATAAAGTTCATTAACCCCGAACCTGTATATGAATGTTATGATCCCTGTTTATAAATTCCAGTTGCATAAGGTATTTTTTTAGTTTTTTACAAGCTTTCGTCTGTTCCTACATACATATATATCTATGTGTGTGCGTGTTTCCTTAAGTAAAATAGACAAGCTGTGTCTATTTATTCTAAGTAAGTTCCTTTCATATTATCTGATAAGCTTAGTAACATTATCTTTGAAAGACGAAAGGAAATCACCATATTGATACATGTTTAAATCCGATCTAAGCTTTCAGCTTACATAAGCCATTATCAAAGATGACAATTACATTTCAATATATCAAACAATACACGGACGAAACAATAATGATAGTCGGTATTTGTTGCATGAAAAATTTCAAAGCAACGACAAACTCGTATATACGAGACGCGGAAGCAAAAATCGCATCGCAGCTCGTGATGTCACACATGAGTGAAAACGAGAAGTATTAAGTATGGGAAGCCGTTGGTATAAACCAATGGCTTCAGTTGTCAATTATAGACATTTAAGAATATTTATTGAGATTTCGCAGTTTATTTTGTTCAGGTTAGGTTTCAACTGTTTGTATATAGCTTCAAGAAATTTTAGTTTTTGTTTATTGTTTTCATGTTTAAGTATAATTGTGTTTTCAATAAGGATTTTCCGGAATTGTGTAAATAGACACAACTTATCTATATTATTTAATGAAACATGTATCAATGAAAAATTGCTGCCTAAATATACACACACACATATATATATATATATATAATGTTATTTTTGGCTGAAACTCCTCATCCAAACATTATTGAATTATTGTTGGTTTTATTAAATACAGACACTGAAACTACCTTATCTAGAAACTACTTTATCTATAGTTACAGTTTTAGTGAGTATACGAGGTCAGATCAAAAAATAACAGGACTGATTTCATTAAAAGAAAATTACACCACATATCAATTCGGCATTTAATTTCCTTCGAAGTAGTCACCGTCTGAACGCATACATTTCCTACAGCGTCGTTTCAATTAATTTGTCGCTTTTTCTTGGATTTTATCGACGTCTTCAGAGCTTGTTCTTTTTAAGTGTGACTTGATTTTTGAAGAAGGACTGTCTCGTAGAGGCGACATCTGAAGAATATGGTGGCTGTTTGACCTGAGGAATGTTTTACTTGTCCCCAAACTCCTACACAAGTCCTACATATATTCCCTGACTTTCTGAGTAACCTCGTCCCGAATATGTTTCAATCCTTATTAAATCGATAACGTTCAACCTTTAACATAAAAACCACTCTATATCTCTCTTTGGCAGTAGACTTCTCGGACTTTGAAATCTTTACTAAATAAAAAAATAAAAAAATTGCCAATTGTTTGTTTTTGCCTTTGACCCTCGAGGGTCTAGATCTGCGGAAGCAAAACTGCAGATGTATGCAATCGATATATTTTACTTAAATCTACATAGCCGTGTATCGTTATTATCGTAAAGAACGCCCCCGTCAACACACACACACATCAAATGTTATTTATTTCTGCAAACGCGAGGCATATGTCAAAGATGTTAGCAATTTTTCAAACGGCAATTTTCTTTTTTTTATTAGCATTTTTGTCTCTTGAATTGAGGAAATAAATCAAAAACAGTACCAAAACCCCGGACAACGATTTATTGCCATCAATCAATTATTTTTTTTTTATTCCTATTCTTATTTCTTTTTCTTTTAATTCGATTTACGTTAAAAATACAAATGGAATAGAATGTCTGTAATCAAACCGCCATATTTAGACGCCATGTTCTGACAATCAACAATACAATATCAGTACCAATCAAGGGAGATTACTCTTTCAGCAACAGAAACATTCTTTGTGTTTTTCTTCCAACATGTACTTAACCCCAACCGAAGCAATCAATTTTTTTTTTATGTTTTTCGTATTGATATACTTTTACCTAGTTTATTATTTTGATTGATTTTCTGTTACGCAATCAATGCCAATCACATCGATATGAAAAATAAATGAACATATATATATATATATATATATATATATATATATATATATATATATATATGAAAAAGAGATTTGTTTGAGGATTGATTGCAACTGGATGATACCTGGTCAGAATTGTCCATGCAGGATCAAGTATTTGAAATTATCTTTTTGATTGACCAGAAGTTTCAATTAGATTGACGGTTTTTTTGTGTGCGTAGAGGGAAAGGTCAGAGAACGCGTATTGAATAAATGGCTAACCGGGATTTTTTTTTATTAATGTAGTTTTCTATATACTATTTTTTTCTTTCAATATTTTTGATCTGAGCTTTTCATCTTCTTTCTTTCTCCAATAAAAAAAAAGAGAGAGAATTAGAAAGCACAAAGTTTAAGTTTCCAAAATTCTCCGAATCATATTATCAGAGATTAAGTGCACAAAGGTTTTGTTTTTATTTTTTTTTTCAGCGGATCGTGTGTGCATAGGTTAGCCACTGACAAAAAAAAAACAAAAAACAAAAAAAAAACTACTGCTTCTTTTCAAAAACAGAATGACAACAAAAGTAAATTTCGTGAGTAAAACAAATTAAATAACTGAAAGATATTACAAACACAACAGGATAAAGCAACATATTTAAATTTAAATGTATCTTTTAAGTAATACAATTCATTCCCAGAAAATTCTTCCGGCCGTCACTTATTTTTCTTAGTTCGGCATTGCTCAGTGGCTTTCCCCAAAGGAATGATCGAAATAAAACTGGAATTTCATTCCTATTATAGGATACAAACCTATTTTAATCGAATTCCCAACATGTAAGGCAATAAAGCCACTAAAACACAAGAAGCTATTGCGTGTTAGAAAATAGAAACAATTTGAAGATGGAAAAGAATACAAGAGTAATCAGGAAAACAGTAAATAAATACTGACATTGGATTTACATTTTTGATGATCCAACTTGTCTGGAAAGAAAGAAGCCGGAAGAAAGTTACACAATTGCGAGATGAAGGGGAGCGGTGTCCACAGCGTCGTAAAATGGGCTATTAATAAAATGATGATGAATCTCATATCTATCTTTTTTAAAGGACATTTTTGTAAGTCTATCTTTTTTTATATATTTCTTATTCAGCATTGTCCCCAAAGGCTTGACGTATTCAGCCATTTATTGCTAATACGGACGAGTTCAACTTCAGTCATAAAACAAAAAACTGCGAAGGAACTGCTTCGACACCGACTCCGCCATATCTCCTCGCTGCTACTGGACCTATGACTGATGTGTGTGCGCAACGGACTTGTATTGGTCAAAGACAGTGCCCCACAACATCACCCACCGCTTTGTTGGTTATCAGTGATCACTTCTTCTCTCAGGACGTAAAATAAAATGAAAGGAATGTATATTTAATGTTTATTAAGATCCTTAATAAATTTAAAATTCATTTCTCAGTCGTTCACTTTATTCCATAAACGAGATGACATTTTTCAATCCAGGCCACGCCTCGAATATTAGTGCCGCATATGATTTGGTGCTCCTGATATATATTTAGAGATTCTCAATAAAATCCAAGGAAGAATGAGAAATGTTTTGCACCCAACCCGGTGTCTTGGTTGCGGCTACTTTCACAACATCGTAAAGTTAATTCCGGGTGCATTTTCTATAAATATTGTCATGGTAATTGTTCGTAGGAAGTCTTCACCATGGTAATTTGACTTTATGAAGGACGAAACTAGACTGGCAACGAGGTTTCATCGATATACACTTTGTAATTAATTGAAGCAACCGCTTTAGTTTCCTTTCTTTCAACATATGGTCGTTTTTAGACACACTGGGTGTAATCGATTTCTATTTTTTCCTCAGATTAGGTCATTTGCAGTGGTGTGCACTAATATGAATCTATTTTCAGGGTGTATGATGAAATTTGTTTGGCCTTGAAAAATATTGCGTCCTCCGTGATTGCATCAGATTTTTATCACGCCCAGGCAATATTGTCTCGACTGTCGATTAGTTGTCCTACTGACATTGTGCGCGACGGATAATATTCCAAGGAAGTGTACGAAAATTGTAACGCTTTGAGAACACACTGGTA